GTGCCGCCGCACACCTGACCCGCACGGGGTCCCATTTTGATGACGTAAGGACAGGGTGGGGTAGCGGTTACGAGTGGGTGGCGGATTGGGACGCGATGCTGGAGCCGGGACATGAGCGCGAAGCGCATTTGCACGAGCCTGCGCAGTGTTGTCTTTTTCAGCAGAGAGAAGTGCGGAAGAGACTTTGGCAAAGGTTAGCTCTTCTGGCGGGAGATGGAGAAGCATGGAGCGGGTGACATTGTAAAGAGGGGTCAGCCCAACAAGCAGAAGCTGCTGCAGGGGCTTGCTCTGGGAAGACAATGCCGAGTTCCTTCAGCTCCTGATGAATCCCTTGAATTTCAGCGACGTAATCTGCCATTCCAGGGCACTCCTCCAGACGCACTTGAAACATGCCGGGGGATGAGGATCGCCACCCCCACAGCGGTTTTGTTGAGGAAGCGGTCGTTGAGGTAACTCCCAGATGGCGTTGCGCGGAGGGGTAGTTATGGTAAGTTTTTGACGAGCCTGGAAGGGTAGTGCCGACGAAGACGCCAATGATAGCGGCGTTCGGCTTGCTCCCACACGCTGTAAGATTCCTCATACTTGGACATGGATTCCTCATGGGGTTTTTAACTCTTCCCCTGTGGCTGTGGCGAGAGCTTCTTGGGAAGGATCGGCATCTTTCCTTTGCCGCGATTGAGGAGGACATCCTTGAGGCAAATCCCCTCAATTTTGCGGCTTAGGAGATGCTTATCAACCCCATAGCTCACTCCTTGAAGTTTAGGGCTTGAGCCATTTGGGTCGAGGCGTAAGGGAGTGATCGGGTTTGAGAGAGACGCGGAAGGATATGCCATGATGCTCCAAGGGACCCTTTCTCCGCGCGTAGCGCAGCTCTTAAGTCGCCGATAGGCACTTCGGCGCGCAGCCGGGCTCAGCGAAAAACAGGGTTTCCCTTTGCGGATTTTCAACACTCGGAGAAGAGGAATAGCCGATAAAGAGAGAAATCTGAACGCCAAAAATCTATGGGAAACCCGCGATGTGCTGCTGCAATCCCGCTGCTCCGCGACCCCCCCTTTTCCGCTTCGCCGCTGCCCCCTTTCCGCTTCGCCGCTGCCCCCTTTCCGCTTCGCCGCTGCCCCTTTTCCGCTTCGCCGCTGCCCCCTTTCCGCTTCGCCGTTGCACCCCCCCCGCTGTTGCAAGGGCGACGGGCGACAGCCCGTCCAGCTTCGACGAGCAGATGCGGGGCGACGGGCCTCAGCCCGATCCAGGTGCGACGAGCAGATGCGGGGCGACGGGCTCAGCCCCGATCAGGTGCGACGAGCAGATGCGGGGCGACGGGCTCAGCCCGATCAGGTGCGACGAGCAGATGCGGGGCGACGGGCTCAGCCCGATAAGAAGCGCCGCGCTGAGTTGAGGCGACTAGAAAAGCTTTGCGTCGTAAGACGCAAATGCTAGGCTCCAACGGAGCGAGAGGATCAAGAGCCGCTTAGGCGGAAACGAGCTCTGATACCATATCAGAAACTGAGAACTTGATTGATTAAAATGAGCAAGAGCATACATCCTTAAGTACCGAGCATCGGAGAGGATGGGAAGGGATAAGGGAGAATCGGAGGGAATCCCAAGGGAATCCTCCCAAATCGTGGGGATTTGGGATGGATTGGGGTTGGGATAGGTTGGGGATGAAAACATAGCTACAACCCAACCTAACAAATATGAGTATCCCTAAAACCAACAAAGTGTCAACACACAAAATTGTGCCAACCGAATTGCAGCCTATCTCTAACAGAAACCCTGGCTAAGCGAGGAACCTTCGCAAAGCGCTCCAGGCCCTCGAATCCACCCCGGTATGCGAGCCGAGTGGGGGAAATACTTAGCGCCCTACTGGCTAAGCACCCACGTGCTGAACGCGCCCTTCCAGGGTGGACCCAACCACACCAACACCAAACCCAGAGCCGCCAATCCAGCCGCCATCTCTACCGCTACTGGCGCTCCTGCTGAGACAGCCGAGGAGCATCACCTCGCCATCACAGTCGCTGAGCTGAAGGCCCTGCTACGACGCTGCCCGAACGGCGTGGGTGCAGGGCCAACGGGAAATGTGTTTTGAACACATCCGCGAAAAGCGCCGTTACCAATGTCGACGTCCTACAGCACCTTACGACGCTAGTAAACGCGGCGCTAGCCGGGAACGTACCTCCTGAGGCGACGGAGCTGCTCACCACATCGCGGCTGCTGCCGTTCCAGAAGCCGGGGGGCGGGGTCCGGCCCATAGCAGTGGGGGAATGCCTCTTTCGCATCTTGGGCAAGGCCGCCCTCTCGCTCCTTGCGGAAACCGCCCAACAGCACTTCCTCCCCTCCAATACGGGGTGGCGGTGAAAGGCGGAGGCGAGACCGTCATCCACGTCGGACGCTCGCACCTACAGCTGCACCCGGACCACCTGGTGCTGCAGGTTGACATGACCAACGCGTTCAACTCAGTTGAACGCCTGGCCTTCTTCACCGCCATCCGGAACAGCCCACTCAAGCGGGCTGCTGCCCCTGGCCAGACTCCTCATACGGCAGGGCCTCATCCCCTCCTCCTGGACCCCGCCTACCGGCGCCCCCTCCCTCAGCAGCGAACGGGGGGTGCGGCAAGGAGACCCCCCTGGGTCCCCTGCTATTCGCCATGGCCATGCACCCGGCCCTGAAGCGGACCGGCGGAGGACTACCCGAGCGTCCTCACGCTGGCGTACGCAGACGACGTCACCTTCATTGGAACGCCGTCCGAGTGCGCGGCGCCTTCTACGCATTCAGCGGCCGCATAGCAGCAGCAGGCCTTGAATGCAACCCCGAAAAATGCGGGGCCTGGTCGCAGCGGAGGTGGACCCCGAGCACATCCCCGCAGGGATCACCCCTCCGAACAGACGCGGTGCGCATCCTCGGCAGCCCCATCGGGACACCGTCAGGGTGCGAGCGCCTGATGAGGGCGGCCCTTGCTTAAAGCGGCCTCAGCGCTCCCGCTCCTCGAGCAACTACAGCCGCAAATAGCGATGCTGCTACTTAACAAATGCGTCACGCGGCGAGCCTCCTACCTGCTCCGGGACGACGCCACCGGCACGCTCCCGCCCCACGACTGGACAGCGTGGGGCAAACGTCTCCTGGCTGCCGCCCTGACTGCATGTGACCTGAAACAGCCTAACACTCCAGAGGACCAGGACCTCCTCTGGCGGCAGTCCACTCTGCCCATCTCCATCGGAGGCCTAGGCCTGCTCGACCTAGTGGTGGAAGGAGGATTTGCATACCTGGCCTCCACCGTACAGGCAGGCGACCTTCTCCGCACTCTTGACACCACCGCGCTATCACCCCTCGGAACCGCACGGGACCTCCTGTCCCACCCTACACCGCGCCAATCCCCTGCACCTCCTCCTCACTCACCTGGAAGCCGCCCTGCCACCAGCCGCACAAGCCGTCCTGCGGCAGCCGCGGGAGGAGTCAGCACCAAAACTGCAGCACGCCCTTGCTCTTGAGGTGCATGGGCACGACACGCCGCTCTGGTCGCGGAATCCCGCGCACCTGGCCCTCAACCCCCAACATGGGCCATACGCAGCGCCTACTGTCGCTGCTAGGTCCGGGGGCGGGCGACTGGCTGCTGGCCATCCCCTTCTGCCCGGACCTCTCGATGAGCAAGGGACAGTTCGCCCACAGCCCTGTCCTTCCGGATGGGGCTGCAGCACTCCCTGCCCGACAACTGCAACTGCAGGGAAAAAGGGAGCTCAAGGATAAGAGGCTGCCCAACCACCTACTGAGGTGCACCCTCGGTGGCGGACCCATCCGGGTACACAACGCCCTGGTGAACCTGGGGGTGCGCCTCGCCAGCGAGGCACACTTCGTGGTGCACAAGGAATCGACCCTATACCTACCCGAGACGACCCAACGCCGCGCCGACATCACCCTCCGAGAACCGGACTCAGGCGCGGTATGGGTCTGCGACGTCACTGTCACCGACCCCATCTCCTCCAGGGACCCAACAGCAAGGAAGGGGACAGGATGGATGGCGGCTGAGATGCAGGACAAGAAAAGGGACCTGTACGACGAAAGACTCACCTTCGTCAAAAGTCCTGGGTGTGGCAACGGAGACATACGGGTGCTGCAGCAGCGACACCCGGGAACTCCTCCGCCTGCTGGCGGTAGTAGCCGCCCGGGAGAATCACCAATGCAGACGAAAAGTCGGCGGTGACCAAGAAGCTGATACATTCCTTCCGACAGAGGTGGTCAGTAACACTACAGCGGCAGCAAGCCATAACCTTGCATGCAAAGATCGGGCAGGCGTCCGGGGGAGCCTTCCACCACGAGCGCCCAATGGAGGAGCCGCTCACCTGGGGTGAACTTGAATCGACAATTGAACCTACCTTCGAGGGGTGGCCCGGGCAACAGTAGGATGTCTGGGAGCCCATTGTCTCACATGGACCAGTGTATGCCATTTGTACCCTTTATAAGGATAATACGAAGGACCGTTCGAGAGAGAGAGAGAGAGAGAGAGAGAGAGAGAGAGAGAGAGAGAGAGAGAGAGAGAGGAGAGAGAGAGAGAGAGAGAGAGAGAGAGAGAGAGAGAGCCCATGGTATATAAGGCTCTTCCACCCATCCTAGAGTTCATTATTTAGTTTCGAGTTGAGTTCTTCATCCGGTCCCTGCAGCGGCGCTCGCGCCGGCAGCCTTCGGCCGCCGTCGCTCGCGGCGCGGCCTCCGGCCGCGCAGGAGGGCAGAGAAGGAGGGAGTGGGGACAGGGATCCACTCCAAAACCAGGGACGTTACAGCATACAAGCATGCCTCCACAGGGGGCTACAACCTAGCAAATAGCATATGGCTACGGCGCCACCCACAGCGCACGATGGCGGGGACCTGGCCTACACGCCAGACAACCGCCCACCTACTACACCTCCAAAGCCGACAGCGGGACAAGGGCCCCGGCCCGACTCTCCAAAGCTTGAAGCACCGCCACGCAAGCGGCCAAGATCGCCGGGCGCTGATTCGCCACGAGCGACCGATTCAACTCATCAACGGCGCGAGGAGCGGGATCCAGCTCCCCCGCCTCTGCTCCTGGCGGCAACCCATAGGCCAGCCGCCAGAGGAGTAGCGACGCGGCCTCCATCGCGCGTCGCTGCTGGCAGCGAGACATCGCGGGCCGCCACGACCGTCCCGCCTCTGGTTTCCGTGGAGGCGCCTGTAGCGGCGGTGGGCGGAGACAATCCAGCACCTCCGCCACCGCGCCAATACATGCGACGACGCCGGCCATCGCCTCAACTGGCGAGAACGGGTGCGGCGACGCCAGGCGGACAGGCGGACGAGGAATCGGCGGCGGGTCGCCGAGCACATCCACTGGTGTCGGCAGCATACCCCGCCCCACCCGCAAACCCGACCCCTGAGGACGACCGGAGAGAGGAGGCGAGCGGTCCCTTCGTCTTCCGGGCACTACGGTCGGAGGTGACCCTGCCCGAGAGCCCGCCGCGGCGCCCCCGCGGGGACGCTTCATCGGACGAAACGGCAGTGGCGGAGACCCCGCGGACACGCCCTGACCCGATACGACGTCGTGTCCGACAGCGGCTGGTGGTCCCGCTGGCGACTTTGGAGGAAGCAGAGGAGGCGGTTGGAGGACCCCGCGGGGAGGGGAGTCGGGACCACCGGCGAACCCCCTCGACGGAGGGGGAGCCAGAGGGGCCGGGGGGACTGGAAGGGGCGACGGCGGAAGGGGCGACGACGGAAGCCGAGACGGAGAAGGAAACGACGACGGCTGAACCGGCGACAGGGCGCTCGGGCGACGCGAGGAGCGATCCATGGGACTTCCCCCGAAACCCTCTCGTCCAATCGCGGGCGCGGGCGCAGGCGACGGCGGAGAACACGCGACCCGATCGCCAACAGCGGACCGAGGCAGCCGCAGTAGCTGCTCGAGAGCGCTCGCGATCGCTGCCACCTGGACCTGCTGCTGCCGAAACTCCAAGCGCAGCTGAGACGTTGGCGACAGAGCCAGCGAGACGCCGATAGGAGAACCCACCGGCGACGGGGACGCTTCCGCCTCACGTAGGGGCAGGCGCGAGGGGGAGAAGAGCAACCCCTGCTCATCTCTAGCGCAGCCGGAAAGAAGCAGAGCCCCGCACACGCGAGCCACGGCCCGCGCAAGTACGACCGCGGCCCCGGGGGGGGAGCGGGCGAGAAGCACAACCCGAGGGCACAGAGGAACGAGGGGCGGACGAGGGCTCGGGCGAGCGTCGACAGGCGCTGCAACCTTCCGCGGCGTCGCCGCGCGTCTACAACGCGAAGATCGGCGCCGGGGAGCACACCCAGCCGCTGCAGCAGCCAACGCTAATGGAGCGACGGAGTCAGAAGCAGGCGGGGGCGGAGGGACGGGCCGAGAGACGGAAAATTGGCTAAGTGCCGACACTCCAGTTGCAAACACACCAGGAGGAGGAGCTACGCGGGGAGCAGCGGAAGGGAACACGGAGGGGGCTGATGACGAGGACGATGAAATTCAACACGCAAACGACCCCACTTATACCCCTCCAATCGGGGTAAACTGGGAAGGCGCCCCAGACGAGGGAGATTTGGAGGACCCCCCCGCCCGAGACGCAAATGTGCGACCCGGCCAATCCAACCGGCGAGCCGCCACATCCAACACCCGCCACGGCTCGACAGTCGCCCGCAGACCCACCCCTGAAGCGCGGGTACAATCCCCTCTGGCGTTGGCGAAGAACGACGAACTCTTCGCCAAAGTGTGCGAGTGGGACATGACCATGCTCCGCGACTCCAGGCTCCCACCCCTGGCACGTCGCCTACCGCGCGAAATCCTGGCGGAGTTCGCGTCCTGCCTGCTGACACCGCTGCTACACCTCGCGCGTAATAGGGACAGCAGAGGAGGTTGGCGCTTGTTACTCCTCCTCCCTCGCCTGACACTCGCAACCACGTCGACGAGGAAGCCGGACTGGGATGGAATGTTACGACGCTGTCGCAAATTCGCCACAGGCGCCTGGGAGTCCCTGTACGCCGAGGCCGTGACCTCGATTTCACTACCACGACCCCCACGCCTCGCGAATGACACCGCCGGGCACCTAGCCCGAGCGGAAACACTCACTAAGCGCGGAAACCTGCGAAAGGCCCTCCAAGCCCTGGAATCCACCCCGGTGTGCGAACCCACCCTGGAGACACTTAACGCCCTCCTGGACAAACACCCCGCCGCCGAACACGCCCTCCCCAACTGGGCGACATTCACAAGCACAACACCCACTGACGCCAATACAGCGCCGCAGCCGCCGCGTCTCACCATCACACCACGGGAGCTCAGAGCCGTACTACGACGGAGCCCGAACGGGGTTGGGGCGGGGCCCAGCGGTATGTGCTTCGAACATCTAAGGGACGCAGCTGCCTCGAACGCTGACGTCCTGAATCTGCTCACAGAAGCGACCAACGCGGCACTCGCAGGGCAAGTGCCGCTAGAGGCGGTGGACCTCCTCACCGCCTCGAGACTGCTGGCATTCACCAAACCCGACGGCGGCACCAGGCCCATCGCCATCGGCGAGTGCCTACTACGCCTCTTCGGCAAGGCCAGCCTGCACCTCACGACGACCCTGGCCCAAGCCCACTTCGCGCCCCTGTAGTTAGGAGTGGCGATGAAGGGAGGGGGCGAAACGGTGGTGCACGCGACAAGAACCCACCTTGAACAGCACCCTGAACACCTGCTCCTGCAGGTGGACTTCTCCAACGCGTTCAACTCAGTCGAACGCCCCGCTTTCTTCCGCGCCCTACGCGACAGCCCGCTCAAAGGGCTGCTGCCCCTAACCCGCCTCTCCTATGGAAGGCCATCGAGCCTGCGGCTCGACCACGCATTCGGCGCTGACCCGCTCATCAGCGAGCGGGGCGTACGCCAAGGCGATCCGCTGGGCCCCATGCTGTTTGCCCTCGCCCTCCACCAGGCGCTGAGCATGACAGCAGAGGAGTACCCAAACGTCCTCCTACTGGCATACGCCGACGACGTGACCATCATCGGCCCGCCGCCGGCTTGCGCAGCCGCCTTCTATGCCCTCACGGGTCGGGCAGCAGCGGTTGGACTCACCTGCAACGCCAGCAAGTGCGCAGCCTGGTCACCCGCACCGGTGGACCCCGCGCTCATCCCCGCCGGAGTACCACTCACCCAAGACGCAATCAAGGTCTTGGGCAGCCCCATCGGCACCACCCACGGATGCGGGGACATCATCCGCCGCACGCTCGGAAAAGCGGCAGCGGCGCACCCCCTCGTAGAGCAACTGCACCCGCAAGTCGCGCTGCTGCTCCTCACCCGCTGCATCACGAGGAGGGCATCCTACCTCCTCCGCACCACCCCCACCGACCTCCTCCCCCCCGAGGAATGGACGCAGTGGGGGAAGTCCCTGCTGGAGGCAGCGCTCAAGTCATGCGAGCTCCAGCAGCCACGGGACGCTGAAGGCCGAGATCTCCTCTGGCGACAGGCGACCCTGCCGATCACCATAGGAGGCCTCGGCCTCATTGACCCCGCCGCGGAAAGCAGCTACAGCTACCTGGCCTCCGCACTACAGGCCGGTGACCTCCTCCGCTCCATGGAACTCCTGACTCCTCACCCCTCGCCGACCTCCTCCACCTCCTCACTCCGCCCTTCACCGCCCAAACGCCCCTACACCACCTGCTCAACCGCCTGGAAGCGGCACTCCCCGAACCAGCACAGTCCACACTCACCCGCCCGCGCGACGAACCTGGCGCCAAGCTCCAGCATGCCCTAGCATTGGAAGTACACGGGGCCAGGCATGCACGGTTAGTGGCAGACTCCAGACACATGCCACTCAACCCCCTCCTGGGCCACACCCAGCGCCTCCTCTCCCTGCTCGGGCCAGGGGCAGGGGACTGGCTAGTCGCCATCCCCTTCTCCCCGGACCTGAGCATGAGCAAGGGGCAATTTGCCACGGCCCTAGCCTTCCGCATGGGCCTACAGCACTCCCTACCCGGCAAATGCAACTGCCGGGAAAAGCATGCGATACCAGACAACCGGCTGCCCAACCACATGCTACGATGCACCCTGGGCGGGGGTCCAAAGCGGACCCACGACGCACTCGTGAACCTCAGGATGCGACTGGGCCGAGAATCCCACTTCGTGGCCCACATGGAATCCACGCTCTACTTACCCGAAACTGCCCAACGCCGTGCCGACATCACCCTCCGATGCCCGGACTCAGGCGCGGTATGGGTCTGTGACGTCACAGTCACCGACCCCATCTCAACCCGCGACCCAACAGCACGAAAAGGGACGGGGTGGATGGCGGCAGAGATGCAGGGCACGAAGCGGGACCTGTACGACGAACGACTCACCTTTGTGAAGGTGCTGGGAGTCGCCACAGAGACATACGGCTGCTGCTCCCCCGACACACTCGAGTTCCTCCGAGTGCTGGCTGCCCTCTCAGCCCGCCGGAACCACCAGGCCGACGAAAAGTCAGCGGTGGCAAAGAAGGTACTGCACATCTATCGCCAGAGGTGGTCAGTCAACCTCCAGCGGCAGCAGGCAATCACCCTCCATGCGAAAATTGGCCAGGTGACAGGCCAAGCTTTCAGCCACGACCGCCCCCTAGACGAACCTCTTACCTGGGGAGAACTTGAAGCCACCATTGAACCTACCTGCGACAGGTGGCCCGGGTAGCAGTAGGATGCTCGGGGACACCAGGACATACATAACCCTGTTTGTACCTCTGTACCCCTTATAAACATAATAAAGGACCGCTTGAGAGAGAGAGAGAGAGAGAGGGATGTGTTACGTATAGCAAGGCAAGATTTCTTGCGTGCGTCCCATCCAGACCTGCGCAGTACCTCACCATGCACTGGACACTCCCGCTCGTTCTCTCTCTTCCTGTCTCCGTCTCTCTCACCCCTCTTCCTCCCCCCCTCCCTCGCGCAGTCATTCCCTGCCTCCATCCCCGTTCCCCCTTCCTCTCTCGTCTCCCTCCATAAGCGCTGGCACAGATGGGCGGAATGACTCGCTCACCTCTGCGACAGCAATCATATCTGCCGTCACGCGGGGAAACGCGCTCCTCTGCTTACTCCGCGCTCTCTCCCTGCCCTCGCATCCGGCGCTCTCCCATCCCTCCCTTTCCTGTTCGTTCCCCTCCGCTCCTTCCCCGTTTCCCTGCTCCGCACTTCCCGGCTCTCCTGCCCTCCGTCCCCCGCCTCCTTCTTCCATCTCCCTGCCTGCTCGGTACCCCACCCACAGCACAGCGACGGCTGACGTCAGCGATAAGACGAGAAGGATGGACGCGATTTGTTGCCGGCGACCTGAAGCTCGTCGCAGCAGCGATCGCATGGCGGCGGACCGCATGAGGGGGGGAAAGGGGGCGGGGAAGTCGTCTTCCCCACTTGGAGGTCGTGAGTGTGAAGAAATCTACTGAAGCAGCCGTAGATTGGAGGCAGTGTTTGATGGGGATTGCGGACCTTTTGAACAGCTCTGAAACGAACCTGCTTTTGTTCAGGTCAGGCTGGAAGATCGGGTCTCAGAAGATATTTTGCAAAAGGCATTCCGGAAAGTGTTATATCTGTGCCACAAAGTACAATATTGACGTACCACAGGATGATTCAAAACATGTTTTCGTGTACTTTTGCTGAGCTTGCCAGTCCAAATACTAGTTCCACTTTGTGATTCCCACTATTTGAGGGCGTGTTTTTGTATAACCACGGTTCACATCACAGCTCCCGGATGCAGCATCGGAGCACACTGGTAACGACGGTACGTTTCGTTTTGACCGCAACTTCTCCACAACTCTCTCCCCCCTCCCCCGCACCTCCCCTTCCCCCCACCCCCCCCCTCTAATCTTCCCCTTGAAAATTCTCGAGGCTGCAAAGCAGGGGGCGGCTCACAGGCAGCGCAACCAAAGCCCATTTCACGAATCCCTCGAGTCAGTCCCGACTCCCTACTCCCGCTTCAGCACTTTCTGGGCGCTCCGCCATGAGAGCGCGTCTTTCGCAGCTGACTTCGGCGTGAAAGGCTTGATCTCCTAAAGCCGCAGGGACCAGCAGCAGCTTCTGCCATTCGCGTGACCTCAGCGCAGTCTAAGTCTAATTATCACCACAATGCCATTCTCCCCGCTCCCTGCTCGCCGTCCGATCAGTGCGCCGCGCAACAACACTCCCGGTGATAGATCTCGCCGGTGTCAGTTACCATCTGACGCTTAACGCCTGACGGCTGACGGCTGACGTCTGACGCCTGCAAGCACGCGTTTCGCGCCGAGAGTAACTCGTCGACGACAGAGCAATGAGGCGGAATCAGCGTTCCCAGTGGCCCCTCGCCCCCTGGAGCTGCTGCTGAAGAGCCTAGACGTCTCTGCTACAGATTATTTTTGAGTCGACTCAAAAATCAGCTGCTGCTGAAAAGCCTAGGCGCCGCTGCTACACCGCTTTGAGATGTCTCAAAACACGATGGCTCCTCGCCCCCTGGAGCTGCTGCTGAATAGCCTAGGCGCCGCTGCTACATCGCTGTGATTGTATCGTCGTATTTATGTTGCCATGCTCTCTGTTTCGCCCTCCGCCTGATAAGCGGGCGTGAAACGAGACGCGTCGGTCCGCCCAGTGTGGGTACTATCGTCTAGGTGTTCCGAGCTGTTAGTGACTGGCTTAATCAGCTGTTTCGTGCTAAACCAGCTTAATCGGCCTCTACGTTCTCCTCCTGTTCTCTTCGCACCTGAGCTATTGACTGTTCCTCTTCGCGGGGGAGCCGGAGTGCGCGGAGTGCGCTCGTGCGCGGAGAGTGAGCTCGCGCGCGGTGCATGCGCGGAGAGCAATGGCCACCGCTGTGCGGACGAGCAGCAGTGGCAGCGGAGGGACCGCTGGCCGGGGCGACGGTGGAAGCAGAGGGCGCGCGGGCGTCAGAGGGAAAGCGGCATTGGGCGGGCGGAGCGGAGATGGGGGGGAGAAGCTGCGCGGAATCGCCGGGGAAGGGAGCGGGCTGGGCGGAGGGGGGAGGGGAAATAGAAGCCGAGGGAGGGGCACAGGGGGGAGCGGAACGATAGGGGGGCGAGGGCGGAGAGCAGAAGCGTCAGGGCGGGGGAAGGAAGTGGGGGAAAAACATAAGGGGACTCTTACCTATCAGGGCGAGGGAGAGGAGACGAGGGGGGTAGGTGAAGGTGACAGAAACGAGGGGAGGCAGAAAACGGAGGAGGGGATGCCAAGGGCGACTGGTAGTAGCGACTATTGCAGTGAGAATAGGGATGGTGGTGATGGGGGGTTGGCAGACCCTGGGACAGGCTTTGAGGCGTCGCAAGAAGCGTCTAGATTCACTGAATGCGGAGTGGGGGGCATGAGGCGGTCGCATGAGGCGTTCGCATTCACAGAGCAAGGAACACCAGACGGAGAGAGGGATGGGTCTGGTTACCGGGGAGAGGGAGAGGTGTGGGGCGAGGGGGCGGTAGAGAGTGGGGAGGACGTTGCAAGAGGAGTAGGGCGAGGAGACTTGGGGGGAGGGAGTGAGGAGAAGCAGGAGAAGGGAGAAGAGAAGGGGGAAGGTGGAGGAAGAGATGGGAAAGGTGGGGGAGGTGGGGGAGGTGGGGGAGGTGGGGGTATGGAGGTCGGGGGGGAGGAGGATGCAGGGGAAGTGGGTGGGGGAGAGGCCAGGGAGGAGGAAGGTGAGGAGCTCGTGACTGGTTCTCTAGTGAGTGGGGGAGCGAGTGAGGGAGCGAGTGGGGGAATGCGTGAGGGAGTGAGTGAGGGAGTGAGTGAGGGAGTGAGTGTACGTGAAGCTGGACGGCCAAGAGGTGAACCGGAATCGGGTGCACAGAGTGGGGGAAGGGAAGTGGGCAGGCTGTCAACACAGGCACAAGGCGGGGAAGAGACTGACGGGAGATGCGGGAGTCAAGAAGCAGGAGCAGGAGGAGGAGAAGGGAACGGGGAAGTGACAGGGGAAGTGACAGGGGAAGTGACAGCGCTATGTACGGGAGAAGAGAAGCCGAAGGATGCTGCGTATAGGGCAGTGGAGAAACGGGGTGAGGAGAAGGGAGGTGAGAAGGGGAGTAAGAAGGGGGGGTCTGACGAGAAAGAAGCTGGTGCTTGTCGTGGTAGTGAGGGAGAGAAGGCTGATATGCTGACGCAAGAGCAGTCGCAGCAGCAGATGTGTGTTGCGGCACATGCACAGGCGCATGCACAGGCACATGCACAGGCACAGGCGCATGCACAAACACAAGCGGGCATGGCAGATACAGCAGCGAATCCACCTGCAGCAGCAGTAACGACCACCACAGGCAGTGTATCTGAGGCATCAGCAATCGGTGCTAGGGCGGCAGCAGCAGCAGCAGTGGTGCACGGATGGTCGGAACGATGGAGCGAGCTAGCCACGCTGAGAGCTGACAGGTTCGTGGGTGGGTGCACGTGGGTGGGTGCACGTGGCTTGGGTGCACGTGGCTTGGGTGCACGTGGCTTGGGTGCATGTGGCTTGGGTGCACGTGGCTTGGGTGCACCCGGCTTGGGTGCACGCGGGTGGGTGCACGTGGCTGGTTGCACGTGGGTGGGTGGACGTGGGTGGGTGCACGTGGGTGGGTGGACGTGGGTGGGTGCACGTGGGTGGACGTGTGCCTTTAGGAAGATATGTTACCATTTGCCGTTGTTCTCTTCCATTACCTTGTGTCTCCCTCCCTACCACTTTCTTCTTCCTTCCCATCCCCCCCCCACCCGCCCTCTCCCCCTGCCATCTCCCCCTCTCTCTCTCCTCCATCCCGCACTCCCTCCATATCCCTTCCCCCCCACCCAACCTTTCTCAAGTTCGTGCCGGAGCAGCAGCTGTCAGCAGCGTGCTCCCCTCTCAGCATATATCTCCTCACTCTCCCAGCCACAACCACCACCACCACCACCACCACCACCACTACCAACCCACCTCCACCCCACCCACCCTTTCTCCCAGGTTCGCGACGGAGCAGCAGCTATCAGCAGCGAGCCCCACGCTGAGCAATTGTCTCCTCACTCACCCTCTCTCCCGTCCACACATCCCCGCACTCTCACTCTCACCACCACCACCACCACCACCACCACCACCACCACCACCACCACCACCACCGCCACCACCACCACCACCACCACCACCACCACCACCACCACACCACCACCACCACCACCACCACCACCACCCCACCACCACCACCACCACCACCACCACCACCACCACCACCACCACCACCACCACCACCACCACCACCACCACCACCACCACCACCACCACCACCACCACCACCACCACCACCACCACCACCCACCACCACCATCACCCCTCCCCACCCTCATCCAGGTTCGCCACAGAGCAGCAGCTGTCAGCAGGGAGCTCGACGCTGAGCATGTGCCCTCGCACTCTGACTCTCTCCCCTCCTACACTCCTTCCACCCTCCCCTCGCCCTCCCCACCCTCCTCCAGGTTCGCCACGGAGCAGCAGCTCTCAGCAGCAAGCTCGACGCTGAGCACGTGTCTGCGGCGCCTGCACCTGCTGCGCCGCAGGGAGGACCAGCTGCTGCTCGAACTGCGCCTGCGCTCCGCCTCCTCCAACCTCGTGAGCCCACCCACCCACGCCCCTCTCGTGAACCCACCCCTCTCGTGAGCCAACCCCCACCCCTCTCGTGTGCCAACCCCCACCCCTCTCGTGAGCCCACCCACGCCCCTCTCGTGAGCTGTGAAGCGCTGTAGAGTGACGCCCGCCATACCCCTGCCTCTCCTGTCGGCTGTTACGCAGTGCACTGACACCCCATCGTAAACGCATAGATAATATCTCTGTAAATTGCCAGTCAGGCGGTGGAAGAAAGTGTGATCCGTTCTCCTGCTTGTTTTGCTGTCGCTGTTGCTGTGCTTGTTGCCGTGCTTGTTGCTGTGCTTGTTGCCGTGCTTGTTGCTGTGCTTGTTGCTGTGCTTGTTGCTGTGCTTGTTGCTGTGCTTGTTGCTGTGCTTGTTGCTGTGCTTGTTGCTGTGCTTGTTGCTGTGCTTGTTGCTGTGCTTGTTGCTGTGCTTGTTGCTGTGCTTGTTGCTGTGCTTGTTGCTGTGCTTGTTGCTGTACCACTGCGTGCTCCTCTCCTGCTCTGCATTTTAAGCTGACTGCTCTGTATGCTGTAGCTTCTGGACCTCTTTCGCAGCTCTCCTCTCTACTCGCTTACATCCGTACACCCATCCGTACGCCCATCCGTACACTACATTCCGTCGATGATTCGTTTCCATCCGTCCGCTCCTTGGTCCATCCGCGGATCTCCCACTCCAGCTGGGAGGAGCATCTCTTGCTGCTGCAACTCACACTGCCTCTCCAGCATATGTAGCACCGACAGCAGTAGCAGCAGCCGCAGCAACAGCGGCAGCGGCGGCGGCGGGGGCAGCAGTAGCAGGAGGAGGAGGACGATCAGGAGGAGTAGCAGGGGGATCCCAGGCTGCCTTAGCATCATTAAGGGGTGACGTGGCGCATGTGTTAGCACCATCATCACCATTACCGTTTCCAGCAGCAGCAACAGCAGCAGCAGCAGACTTTGGGTCCCCTCCTGCTTTCCCCCATCAATCTCACCCCTTCCACCCACAGCAGCAACAGCAGCAGCAACAGCATCGGTCCTCCACATCTACTCTTAGGGCAGGCCCCCTTGCCCCTCTCTCCATCCCCCCCCGCCCTCCCCTTCGCTCCCACTCCGGTAAGAGGGTTGCCACTGCTGCTGCTGCTGTGGGGAGTGGCGGAGGGGCAGGGGCAGGAGGAGGTGCGAGAGGAGGTACGGGAGGAGGTACGGGAGGAGGGGAAGGGGGAGGAGGAGGGGCAGCAGCAGATGGAGCGGTGGAAGGAGGGGTGAGAGGAGGAGGGGGAGGAGAGGGTGGTGGTTTGGCATCGTCTGTCGGACGCATGGAAGCAGCACATACTCTTGATGCTGCTGCTTCTACTGCTGTTGCTGGTGCTGGTGCTGGTGCTGGTGCTGCTTCTACTGCTGGTGCTGGTGCTGGTGCTGCGGCTGTTACTGTTGCTTCTGGTGCTTCGGCTGTGGCACTTGCAGCTGCAGCAGCACAAGCAGCAGCACCACCTGCTGCTGCCTCTGCAGCTGCAGCGTTAGCAGCCACAACAGCAGCGCCAGCAGCAGCAGCAGCAGCAGCGGTGGCGGGAAACCGCAGTGGAACAGCAACAGCAGCAGCAGGAGGGCAGGTGGTTGGTTCTCTGTGGGATTCCCCTCGTGAGGTGGTGGTGCGGACTGTGTCAGCGCGCGATGCCAGTATTTCAAGTGTCCTGCACTCCCTGGACGCTGTAAGACGCCAAGTCGCCTCCTCCTTCCGCCCCTCCGCAGCAGCAGCAACAGCAGCAGCAGCAGCAGGGCAGCATGGGGCAGGAGTGAAGCAGCTTGGGGCAGCAGCAGGGCAGCACGCGAAGACAGCAGGGCAGCATAGGTCTGCTGCAGAAGTGTCAGCAGGAGGATCAGCAGCAGCAGGAGTGGCGCAGTCAGCAGCAGGGAGGGTGGTGGGGCGTTCCAGGGGAAGCGCAGAGAGTTCCCCTGTGCATGGGAGGTCCAGGGAGGGGTTGGATGGACGTTCAATGGGGGGAGGGGGTGGAGGAGAGGGAGGAAAGGGTGGAGGAGAGGGAGGAAGGAGCGATGGTGGTGCTGGTGGGGAATCAGAAAGAGTAGCAGGAGGGGCAGCAGCAGGTGAAGCAGCAGGAGCAGCAGCAGGCGCAGGAGCAGGTTCTGTGCTGCTGCCTGGAGTTCAGTACAAGGTGGAGGCAGGGGGGCCAGGGGAAAATGCAGCTTTTCATGGCACGGGAGCAGGGGGGCCAGGGGAGGCAGGGGCTGGTGAGCCTACCTTTGCTGGTGGGAGTAGCAGCCTTGAGGAGTATGCTGCTGTGAGCCGTGATGTTCAGACAGGTGGTTCCTCGGCTGCTGGTAATGCTGCTGCTGCCAGTGGTGATGCTGGTAATGGCTCCGCTCAAGACCTACCTGGTGCAGTTATGGTACCAAATTCCTCCCTCACTCCGCCTCGTATGCCTCCTCACACCCCATCAGCATCAGCAGCACCAGCAGCAGCATCAGCTGCAGGCAGAGGCCTCTGGCCAAACCCGTCGGCCTCTCCCACACCATCCATCCGCTCCCTAGGCCCCATCCCCTCCCCAGCGTCCAGCAGCATCATCCCTCTCAACCCATACGCACTGCACAACATCGCCATACGAGCCATCAGCAGTGGCAGCTACCGCAGCGCCCCCTCCCCCTCCGCCCCCCGCTACATAGTCTCCTCCCCCGCCCCCTCCCCTATGGCCGCCTCCCCCTTCCACTACACGCCGACCTCTGCCGGCCATTCCAAATTCGGCGCGCATTTCGCGTATGGGAACCGTGCTTGGTCGGGGAGCGGGCATAACGGCACCCCCTCGGGATCTTCGGGTGCGGGGGGGGGGAGTAAGAGTAACACGACTGCGACCACCACTCCCACCACCACCAACAGCACCACTGGGTTTTCCCCTGATGGCCTCCCTGCTCTCCCTCCTTTTCTTCCTTCAGAGTATTTTGTAGCGACACTAGGTGTAGACCCGAATGTGGATCCGAATGCAGATTCAAATGGGGAGCAGAGTGGGGAGTATGATTTGAATAAGCAGCTTTTTTACGCTGGTGGGGCGGCGTCTGCGTTTGATACTTTCGCTTTTGCGGCTGCTCCAGATGCCGGTGGTGCTTCCACTTCTGCTGCTGCTGCTGCTGCTGCTGCGGGTGGTGCTGCGGGTGGTGCTGCTGGTACAGTCCCATCCACTGCTGGTGCATCTCTTGCTGGTGCCATTTCTTCCAACCCTGCGCTTTCCTCTTCTGCTGGTGCTGCTGCTGGCGGCTCTACTGTATCTTCTGCTGCTACAGCTGCTGCTGCTGGTGGCTCCAACCCTGCCACAAACACGAGCACCATCCTTCCAACCACCACTAGCGCTCCTGCTACCGGCCATTCCTTCTCCTCCCACGCCTCCCTACATCAAGATCCCTCCACCCTGCCACTATCGTTCGACCACTTCCATTCTCCGCTGGATAGCTTGCAGGATTACCTCCCGTCCTCAAGACACTCAGGCTCAGCCACACTCGTCTCCTCACATCATCTGGGTGTTGGAGGTCAGGAGGGCCGAAAGGGATATGTACCAGCACCGGCTGACCCCTATCACCAACCCGGCACCAGTGGCATCACTAGCAAAACCTGCAACAACACCACTAGCAGCAGCAGCACCGCGTTTGCCGTCCGAGAGTCGCCAGGGTCCACGTTCCACTGGAAACCTTCCGAAGCCAGCACAGCTGCTGCTAGTAGCTCCGCAGATGCTGACGCATTTGGCCTGCTCTCGTCGCACTCCCTGCTGCCACCAGATGAGTTTTCTACCGATGCCTTCCCACCTGCAGCCTCCCTAGGTGGCGCTGGTAGTGGTGGTGGTGGCAATGGTGGTGGTGTGGTTGGTGGCGGTTATGATGTGTCCAGTGGAAGCTCCATGGGTGGGGGAGGTGAGGGGGGAAGGAAGGATGATGTGCTGGGTCTAGGCCTGCTTAGCGGGATGACGACAGATGGTGCAGGTTTCCCAGCTGCAGGCTTTCCAGAAACGCTAGGAGTAGTGGGAACATCAGAAGCAGGAGCAGGAGGAGCAGGAGGAGGAGCAGGAGCAGGAGCAGGAGCAGGAGCAGGAGCAGGAGGGGCAGGAGGCGCTATGGAGGCAGCTGCTTTTGGCCTGCAGTCTTTTCCGTTGGATTTCAACGCACTCTTTAGCATCTCAGGCGCTGCTTCTGCTGGTGGTGGTGTGCCTCTTGCTGCTTCTTCTGCCACTACCGCTGACACTGCCCAGCATGCTGCCGCCGCTCCTGCTCCAGCTGTGCCTGCTGGTGTTCCTCCTCACTTTCCTCCATCCCTCATCCCACCACACTACTCCATGCCTGCTGGGGCCATGGCTGTCACTCAGACAGAGCTCTTGGGTGCTGGTATGTATGCCATGCCAAGAGGCATGGGCATGGCAGGAGGAGGGATGGGAGCAGTGGGAGAAAAGTCTCGGGTGGCAGGATGGGGCATGGGGACGAGCGGTGCTGACATGGGCATGGGGATAGAGAGGAGGCTGGGTGTATCAGGGGGGCACATGCAGCCCATGCAGCCCATGCAGCCCATGCAGTATATGCAGCAGCAGCAGGGGACAGTCTCTGCCAGACCCTTCGACACGCCTCAGCAGCACGGCGCAGGAGCACCAGCAGCAGCAGCAGGAGGACGAGGAGGAAGGGGGTCCTCATCTGCCCATCCACGGCAGTCGCCCCTGGACGTGCTCGTGCACGTGCATCTGCCCAGCTCCACACACACCTCCACCAACGATGGCGCCTCGGAGCGCGGGGGCGGCGGCGGCCAATGGAGCACACCCTTCACTCCATGACAGCCATTAGGCATGAGCTGTGAGGCATGAGGCATGAGCCATGATGCATGTGGCATGAGGCATGAGGAGGCATGAGGCATGAGCCATGAGCCATGAGGCATGAGGAGGCATGAGGCATGAGCCATGAGGCATGAGTCGTGAGCCATGAGGCATGAGGCATGTGTCATGAGCCAGGCATGAGTCATGAGCCACGAGGCACGAGGCGTGAGCCATGAGCCATGAGGCATGAGCCATTAGCCACAGCCCTTGCGCTTGCGCTCGCATGTGCACCTCCTTGAGCTTTGCACGTGATAGGTCTGATGTGGATGGAGGCTTGCACTTGAGTCGACTCAAAAGCTCTTGCACCTCCTTGAGCTTTGCATGTCATAGCGCGGATGTGGGTGGAGGCTTGTGTTAACGTAGAAACGAATGATTACTAGAGGTGGAAACCTAGAACAAATACTAGTTGGTTGTACTCACTAGAAGCATACCTCAGTCTAGCCTATAACTTCTACATAGAACATATGTATAAGTTGACACACCCCCTAGGCTAGACAAGGGGTGAAACTAAACAAGAAGCAAACAGCTCAGGGCGGCACTACTAGTCCAACCACTGAGGCAGGGGTCTGGAGACCAGTCAGTAAGAATACAACCAAAACTGAAGCAAGCCAGGGTGGCACTACTAGTCCAGCCTCTGGAGGTAAGGCCACAAGGCCAGTCTGACAAGCATATATAATAGAGAGTACACAATCAGGATCCTAACAGGGGAGCAGTTATAGGAACAAGACCAAGCTGTACACAGTGCCGCTGATGATCTTTAGGCGCAAGCGCCTTAGTAAAGATATCAGCTGTGTTGGCACCTGAGGCCAAGTGAACTACGCGGGCCTGGCGGCGCTGCTGTAGCTCGCGCAGGAGGAAGTACCGCAGCTGGATATGCTTCGCTCTGCCCTCAAGCCGAGGCTCCTGACACAGGAGTATCATGGCCCTGTTGTCAGCGTACAGGACCGGGGCAGAGTTAGGCCGCTCACCTAAGTCTGTGAGCAAGAAGGTCAGCCAGCGGAGCTCCTGTGCCGCCATGGCACCAGCGTAGATCTCAGCCTCACAGCTAGACTGAGCCACAGACGACGAGCGAGTGGATCTCCAAGAGATAGCACCCGAACCAAGGCTGAAACAGTAGCCCTGCGACGACCTGAGCGTCTCAGCGTCGTCTGCCCAAGAAGCGTCTGTGTGCCCAGTAAGGACCACTGGCCTGCGTCCTCCTAGCACTAACCCCATGCCTGATGTACTAGCAAGATAACGCAAAACCCTCTTAGCGGCAGACCAGTGCTGAGGTCGGTGTCTGCCTGTAGCCACAAAGCGAGCCAGGATGCTGAGAGGGTATGCGAGATCTGGGCGAGTGCAAGTCATCAGGTACATGAGGCAACCCACCAGCTCTGCGTAGGGGCCACTGGGCTCTACTGGCTCCTCAGGAACGGGAGCAGAGAGCCCATGGTCTACGGGTAGAGGTGTGGGCTGTGCGGAGGAGAACTGAAGACCGAACCTCTGAAGGACCTGACGCACCAAGTGTGACTGGGTCAGAGTGATGGTGCGTGCTGCTCTGTCCCTAGAGATCTGCAGGCCAAGATAGCGACGCAGCTCTCCAAGGTCAGTGCAGGTGTGTCTCTTCAGCAGCTCAGCCTTCACAGAGGCCAGTGCGTCCCTGTCAGGAGTAGCGAAGACCAGGTCATCTACGTAGACAAGGATGTAGAACGGAGTCTGGCCGGAACGCACAAACAGTGAAGGGTCAGCAGAGGACGGAAAGAACTGCAGGTCTGCTAACGTGGCACGTAGCGTGTCGTGCCACTCGCGGGGAGCCTGACGCAGGCCGTAGACCGGGCGCCTGAGAAGCCACTGGGTCCCAGGAGGGAAGGTACCAGTGAAGCCCTGTGGTCGGCGCAGGTAGACCTGCTCGTGTAGGCTGCCCTGAAGAAAGGCAGTAGAGAAGTCGAGGGAGTGAAGCTCGTAGTCACGCTGTGCTGCTACGTGTAGCAGCGCCCGAAGAGTGGTCATCTTCGGGGTCGGGGCGAAGGTCTGGAAGAAGTCAACCCCCTCGCGCTGACTGAAACCTCTGGCCACGTAGCGCGCCTTGAAGACAGGCGGCTCTCCAGGGGGGCGCTTCACCTTGAAGAGCCACCGACCATCGACTACGTTCACCCCAGGCGGGGGAACTGCGTCGACGTAAGTGCCGGTGGATCTCCAAGATGCCATCTCCTGCTCCATGGCAGCTATCCACTGAGAGGCCCAAGGTCCCGAGGTGGCCTCAGCGTAGGTGCGAGGGGTCGGGATGTCGAAGGCGTCTGGGTCACCCTCAGGGACTAGCAGCATGGAGCAGAGATGGGGAGCAGCCTCGGAAAGGAAAGCCAGCTCGTACTGCCTGTCCTCTAGGACGTCACTGCCAAGGGCAGGAGCACCCCCGACGGACAGAGGACGGGCAGGGTCAGAGACCAGAGCGGTAGCGTAGTCAAGGCGGCGGGTAGAAGCGAAGTCAGCGACAGCAGCGACAAGCGCGTCAAGGCGCGAGACAGGAACAGCAGGGTCGGTAACAAGAGAGGCAAGGACCCGAGGGACAAGGGGACGAGCAGCACGGAGGTAGTCAGAGAACGGAGGAGGTGCAACAGCAAGGGACGAGGGAGGAGGGGACGGGAGGAGGGGAGGACGAGACGAGTGGGAACGGAGCAACATAGGGTGGGTGGGCAGGACAGGAGAGACGGGACGAGCACGGGAGGGACGGCGAGCCCAAACGTGAGACGGAGGGGTAGGGTCAGGGGACAGCGGAGGAGACACAGGAGGGGAACGAGGAGGAAGACGGGCCGGAGACGAGTCTGGCGGCGGGAACACAGGACCGTAGACAGGGAGGTCAGGAGGCGGTGGGGGAGACACCGGCGCGCGGTCCGGGGAGGGAAGGCCGAGCAGGCGGAGAGCGGAAACCGGCGGCGACGGCTGCTGCGGCGGCGACGACGGCTGGGCCGGAACTCTCGGACCAGCAGAGGCAGAACGACCGTCGGCAGAACACTCAACAGCAGCACCCCCAGAACCAACACCCCCAGAGCGAGAACCCCCTCCAACACCAGCGGCACCCCCAGAAGCCGCAGGACGAACACCCTCCTCCACACCAGCACCCCCAGGGGCCGAGAGCAGCGGCGGCAGTGGCGGCAACGGCTGCGGCGGCGGCGACAGCGGCGACGGCTGCGGCAGCGACAGCGGCGGCGGCGGCGACGACAGCGGCGACGGCTGCGGCGGCGACGGCGACGGCGGCGGCAGCGGGGTCGGCGACTGCGACAGTGGGGGCGGAGGCACCGGGGAAGGGGGACGCGGCAAGGACGGACCGGGGGTACCACCAGAGTCAGCAGACTCCTCAACGGGGACAACCGACGGGAGGGGAGTGACGTGGGAGACACCAGACGGGGCAGGACGAGGCGGGAGAGGGGCAGGGGCTACCGGGGGAGAGGGAGCAAGGAAAAGGGGGGGGGCAACTGGGAGACCTCGGTGAGGGAAGCGGCGGTAGAAGGAGACGGACTCATCAAAGGTGACGTCACGAGAGTGGAGGAAGCGGTGAGACGGCGGGTGGTAGAAAAGCCAGTCAGACGAGTCCAGGGGGAAACCGAGGAAGACACAGGGGACAGTGCGGGCAGTGAGCTTGTCCGTGCCAGAGGCACGAACGTGAGCAAGGCAGCCCCAGACGTGGAACGCAGACGCGTCACCGGGGGACCCGGTCCAAAGGAGGGTCGGCGAAACCTGCGGCCGCTGGGAGCGTGGCCACAGGGTAAGCTGGTGAGCCGCGTAGCGAACAGCGAACGGCCACAGAAAATGGGGGGCATCGGCATGGATCATGGAGGTACGGGCGACCTCCATGACCAAGCCGATGCGGCGCTCAGCAACCCCATTCTGCTGTGGCGAGTCCGGCAACGTGTACGACTGGGTGATGCCCTCCGCACGACAGAACTGTCCAAGCCGACCAGAGGCGAACTCGCCGCCACGGTCGGAGTGGAGACACAACACGGGGAGACCGCGGTGGAGACGCGCAGCCACAACCCACGGGAGAAGAACGTCGGGCACGTCGGCCTTCCGCTCCAGGGGAAACACCGTGGTGTAGCGCGTGTAGTCGTCGACAAGCACAAGGAAGTAGCGCTCACCGCGCGGTCCGGGGACGGGGGCAGGGCCCCAAACGTCCAAGTGCAGGGTCTGAAGGGGGGCAGTAGCAGGACGCAGCGAGGAGGAGTGAGGAGCACGGCGGAGCCGACCCTCGACGCAAGGCGTGCACGGTGGCGCAGTCGAGGGAGGAAGGGCAGGGAGCGACGCGGGGAGACCTAAGACAAGACCGTGCTGGGACATGTGACGCAGACGCGGGAGAGCAGGGTGACCTAAGCGGTGGTGCCAGAGAAGGGAGGGGTGAGTGAGGGACCGACACGAGCAAGCTGCAGCGACCTGGGAGGACGCACCAACCGGGGGGGAAGCGGTGTGTAGGGTAAACAGACCGGACACCGGGTCCCGGGGGAACGTCGCAAGGGGGGAACCTGAGACAGCCTCAGAACAGACAGCGAACCGCTCGTGCCCGGGGAACGTGGTGGTGACGCCGAGGTCCTGGAGACAGCCGACACCAACCAGGTTCCTGGAGAACGAGGGAACGTGGAGGCCAGTAAGGGAGCCCGAGGGAACTGCCGGACAGGGAAGGGACGTAGAACTGCGCGCGACGACCGGACCCGCAGAGGGGTCAGCGAGAGAGACAACAGCAGGTGCAGCAAGCGGCGTGAGCGTGGAACGGTCGCGGAAGAAGCAGGCAGAAGCACCAGAGTCGAGAGTGAAGGACAGCGACGCAGTGGCGGGGGCCGGGGACGGAGCCGGTGCAGCGACTAGACTAGGCAACCTAGGCAGTCCTACGCCTGTCGCAGCAGGGGAAGCTAAGCTACACAAGGGTGAAACACCTAAACTAGAGTACACAGGGTAGTAAGATCCATCAACACTAGAAGCGTCAGCATACAAAGCATGCAAAGCAGCACCTATCTGATCCATGTCTAACTCAAAGATCGGCACGCCCTGGCGGAGCAGGCTGTGCCAGTCAGGGAGGTCCGGGGCCGGGCCAAAGCGACGACGAAAAAGATCGTCGAGGCGGCGGAAACAGCGGGCGGTCGGGTGCGGGCGGCGGCACAGAGTGCCGCGGAGAGGCCCGGTCTGAAGCTGGTACTGGCAGGTCACAGCACTGGAGCCGCTGGTAGACGCCAAGCTGCGCGGGCCGCCACCACGGCCACCGCCTCCGGAGGTGCCGGGCCAACCAGGCGGGAGACGAGCCCACGGCTGCGGCGGGTGCTGCTGGGACGGCGGCTGCGGCTGGGGCTGGTCCTGCTGCTGCTGGGACTGCTGCTCCTGCCCACCGGTGGTAGTCCCCTCAGGCGGACTACCGTCACCACCACCACGACCACTACCACCTGCGTCACCACCCCTACCTCCCTGGCGGCCACGGCCACCGCGACGCGAGCGCTGCTGCGGGTGGACAGCAGCAGCCGTCTCGGTAAGAGGGGTCGCCGTGGCGACCGCAGCCGAAACGTCAGTGAACGTGCACGGGGATGGGGCACAGCCGTGAAAGATAGAGACTGGCGGCGCACCGCTCGACTGAGCGATAGTGCGCTGGCGAGTCTCGATCTCAGTGAGGGTGTCGACAAAGGCGGTCAGGGTGAGGTCACCCGGGTGCTGGCTAAGAAAGTGGTCGCGAGCACTAGCGAGGCGGTCTGGCAGGCGCATAGCGATAAAATAGAGCGTCATGCAGAAAGGAGGGGGGAGCGCAGTGAGCTGGGCAGCAGTGCTGGCAGTGCGATAGCGAGTCTCTAGGGCACGCAAATGAGTGGCAAAATCTGCGACAGTAGGGAAGGCAGCGAGGTCTGGGAACAGCATCGGAAAGAGCAAGCGGCCAGCAGAAGCGGAGGCAGGGGTGGAATAGCGAGCAATAACGGCGTCTAAATAAGCTTTGGCCGTTTCAACAGTAGCAAAACGCGAGCGCTCAGACACAGGGAGGGCGTGACTAATAGCAACCTGAGCTACTGCATCGCGTGAGTCCCAGATCGCACAGGCCAGCGCAGCAGTAGAGAAAGCCTCACGGTCATCAGAGGAGGGGTCAGCAGGGAGGGGAGTAGGTGCAGGGGGACGGGGGAGCAAGCCATCAGCATGGACAACCAGAGAGTGGCCATCCTGGCGCTGACCTGTAAGCTGGCGGCGAAGATCGGAGAGCCAGGCGGCGAAGTCAACCGCGTGGCCCTCAGCGTCCAGGCGGAGCACAAAGTCAGCCATCGTGCAGGGTCAGCGGCACAGCTCCTCAGCGACACAGCGGCACAGCAGCACAGCTCCTCAGCGGCACAGGAGCACAGCGGCGCGGGGACACGGCGGCAGCACTCTCCAGTAGGGCAGCAGCTAGGCGTCCCAGCGCAGGCAAGCAGAAGACACAGGGCCCGAGAGGACACGGCAGGCCGAGCAGGGGAGGCGGGCAGGTGCTCTGGGGCCGGGCTGGTGCTGGGAGGGGCCAGGCTGGTGCTGCTGGGGCCGGTCGGGCACGAGGAGGGGCCGGGCAGCGCTGAGGAGAGGCCGGGCGGCGCTAGGAAGGGGCCGGGCGGCACTAGGAGGAGGCCGGGCGGCACTAGGAGGAGGCCGAGCGGCACTAGGAGGAGGCCAGGCGGGCGAGCGCTAACAGCAGGCGCGACAGGGGCCAGCGGGCGCGACGGGGCCTAAGGGGCGCGACGGGGCCCAGCGGGCACGACGGGGCCCAGGGGGGGCGCGACGGGGCCGAGGAGGCGCGACGGGGACCAGCGGGCACGACGGGGCCCAGGGGGGGCGCGACGGGGCCTAGCAGGCGCGACGGGGCCTAGGAAGCGCGAAGGGGCCCAGCGGGCGCGACGGGGCCTAGGAGGGGCGCGACGGGGCCGAACGGGCGCGACGGGGCCCAGAGGGGGGGGACGCGACGGGGCTTAGGAGGCGCGACGATGCCTAGGAGGCACGACGGGGCTCAGCGGGCTCGACGGGGCCCATGGGGGGCGCGACGGGGCCTAGGAGGCGCAACGGGGCCCAGCGGGGGCGCGTTAGGGCCTAGGGGTCGCGACGGGACCCAGCGGGCGCGACGGGGCCTAGGGGGAGCGCGACGGGGCCTAGGAGGCGCGACGGGGCCCAGCGGGCACGACGGGGCCCAGGGGGGGCGCGACGGGGCCTAACGAGCGCGACGGGGCCCAGGGGGGGCGCGACGGGGCCTAGGGGGCGCGACGGGGCCTAGGAGGCGCGACGGGCGGAAGCGGTAGGCGGGGGGATCCTAACCTAAGCGTGATACCATGTTAACGTAGAAACGAATGATTACTAGAGGTGGAAACCTAGAACAAATACTAGTTGGTTGTACTCACTAGAAGCATACCTCAGTCTAGCCTATAACTTCTACATAGAACATATGTATAAGTTGACAGCTTGCTCTTGGTGCTGCACTTAGCTGAATGACAATGTCGTGGTGCATGATGTAGTTTACTCTTGGTTGAGTCGCGGGGTCTCTCAGCTACAAGTGTCCCATATCGTACCGTAATCCCCCGTATAAAGCACCCTATGGTGTTAATAAAAATGCAGCAAAATTTTGGGCTGGGTGTAATTAAAGGCCAAAAAAATAAAACACCCAGGAGTTATGGAATGTGCATATGGTTTTTATAATTGGAATTCAAGTGTGCCTGTTTCACCACATTCATTTGAGTCAGATACCCACTTTTGGTCACCTCATTGCATACTGGACGATATTCCCGATCTGCATGCCACATTGGCAGTGAGCATGCAGTGTCAGGGAGGATGCTGTCAGAACAACCAATGAGCACACGTTTAATTTGGCGGGACGCGCGAAAGTCGAGTACAGTCTCAAACTTTCGGATTTGTTTTCGTCGATTTTTTTTTTCTTTCGGGCAGATTCGTCTCCTACCTAAGAGCGTAGCCTCTTCCAAGGGAACCTTCCCAGGCTCGCGAGCTACAGTGTCGCGAATTCTGACGCGAAATATTTTAGTGCTGTTCCATAAGGTGCAACGTCAGGTTCAGCCTGCCGAGATTCATGGGCATGTTTCAAAACCTTTGTTCAGGCGACATTGTTTCCGACACGCGGGAATCTGTACTGTAAATTTTCGGCGCGAGCAGTTTTTTTCTGCGATTGAGCCGCGGAACGACGCAACACGAAATTCTGGCATTTCCTGCTAGAAATGGAGATTCTAGTGGCAGGGGGGTGTTCAAATGTTTTCACGTCCGAGAGTAGGGTGTTGTGTATATCCAGAAAAATTAAACACCCATACCCGCTCAAGCTACCCGGGGGAGCTTAATTCCGGCGGGTGTTTTATACGGGGGATTACGGTATTGTATCGTATCATATCGTTTTGTTTCGTTCGTGATTGTAATGTATCACTGTTTCTCCCATATGTTGCTCCCTGCCTCTGCCTCCTTATCCACCACTTCCATCCCCCACCAGCCCCATTCACCCCACCCGTCTCCCTTCCTCCCCCACTCCTCCCCCCACACACCTGTCTGTCAAACACATTTGTGCGTGATGTTGTAGACCATATAGGGTTGTGCCTTAGAGAGTACAGCCCCCTAGGTTATAATGCCTTGTACTCTCACATTCTAGTCATTCTTTCAGTTTGACATGGTATCATGAGTAGGTTAGGTCCCCTTCGCCCACCAGCGCTTCCGCCGTAGGTCCTAGCGCCTACCCCGTCCCCTAGCGGCCCCGCGGTCCCGTCTCCTGGTGGCCACGCGGCCCCGTCCCCTAGCGGCCCCTCGGCCCCGCGGCCCCGTCCCCTAGCAGCCCCGCGGCCCCTCAGCCCCGCCGACCAGCGGCCCCGCGGCCCCGTCCCCTAGTGGCCCCGCGGCCCCGTCCCCTAGCGACCCCTCGGCCCCGTCGACCAGCGGCCCCGCGGCCCCGTCCCCTAGCAGCCCCTCGGCCCCGTCGACCAGTGGCCCCGCGGCCCCGTCCCCTAGCCGCCCCTCGGCCTCGTCAACCAGCGGCCCCGCAGCCCCGTCCCCTAGCAACCCCTCGGCCCCGTCGACCAGCGGCCCCGCGGCCCCGTCCCCAAGCGACCCCGCGGCCCCGTCCCCTAGCGGACCCTCGGCCCCGTCGACCACCGGCCCCGCGGCCCTGTCCCCTAGCGACCCCGCAGCCCCGTCCCCTAGCGGCCCCTCGGCCCTGTCAACCAGCGGCCCCACGGCCCCGTCCCCTAGCGGCCCCGTGGCTCCGTCCACTAGCGGCCCCTCGGCCCCGTCGACCAGCGGCTTCGCTGCCCCGTCCCCTAGCGGCCCTTCGGCCCCGTCCCCTAGCAGCCCCTCGGCCCCGTCGACCAGCAGCCCCGCGGCCCCGTCCCCTAGCGGCCCCGCAGCCCCGTCCCCGTAGCCGGCCCCGTCCCGCCGCCGGCCCGTTCCCCTAGCCGGCCCCGTCCTGCAGCCGGACCCGTTGCGTCGCCGGCCCCGTCCCAAAGCCGACCCTGTCGCGTAGCTGACCATGCCGAGCCGACTCTGCCAGGTAGCTAGCCCTGTCACCTAGCCGACCCCGTCGCCGCGTCGGCCCCGTCGCCGAGCCGACCTCGCCTTCCAGCCGGCCCGCACTGACCCCGCACCGCACTGCACCGCCCTGCACCGCCTTGCACTGCACTGCACCGCCTTGCACTGCACTGCACCGCCTTGCACCGCACTGTACCGCACTCTACCGCGCTGCACTGTACTGCTCCGCCCTTCTGCCGCCGCACCGACCCTGATGGCGGACTCGGTGCTGCGCTTCGACGCGGAGGCCAGCCGGTCGAGTTCGACACGTGGCTCGTCGACCTCCGCCGTCACCTCACTGGTCAGCGGAAGGACGGCCACTCCTTGGCCATCCACCTCGACTGTACGCTCCCCTGCCCAGACCCCTCTGCTGCCTTGCCCGCTGACCCCTCGTCTGCTGACCGTGAGTCCGCTGCCGCTGCCGCCCTTGCCCGCTCAGTCTGGCTGTCGCGTGACGCAGTTGCACAGCTCGCGATCAGTCATGCCCTCCCCATGTATGAGCGCCCACGGTTTCGGTCAGTCAGGACTGCGCAGGAGTTCCTCAAGGCTGTTGTCGCGCGCTACTCCACCCCACCCGCTGCCTCAGTCGGTCGTCTGATCCTGCCCATGCTCTTTCCCAATCTCGCGTCTTTCCCCACGGTCACTGACCTGGCCGCCCACCTGCGCACGCTGGATGCGACTTGGCGCGTTGCCTGCACTGAGTCCCAGCTTCGTGTCTTTCAGCCACCCATCTGCTCAGCGTACTTTCTCTGATGGTTCTGCTGCTGTCGCTGAGACAGCGCCTGCTGTGGCGACAGCCGCCGCAGCGCAGTTCCGTCCGGGGAAGGGTCGCCGCCCCAAGGATGGGCACGGTGGGTGTAGTGGAGGAGGGCGTGGAGGAGGTGGTGGAGCCAGGCCGTCCGCTGGTAGTACGGATGAGGGGACTGGGGCTGGTGCCTCTGAGCAGCAGGACCAGCAGCAGCAGCAGCAGCAGCAGGCGCCGCAGCAGCAGCCGCAGCAGCAGCAGCAGCAGTAGCGGCGGGCTGGTGGTCTCCTGCGCGGGTGGCCTGGCGCTGTTGGTGGCGGTGGACGTGGTGGTCGTGCGCGCAGTGTCCCATCGGGTGGTAGTTCGCGCTTTCAGTACAAGCTCCAGACAGGTCCTCGCCGCGGCTCCGTGTGCGGTAAGTTCGGTCACACCCCCGCGCGCTGTTTTCGTCGCCTGGACGACCTGTTTCATCTTCGCTTCGGCCAGTCTCCCGACCTCCCCGACTGGCACAGCTTGCTTCGCCGTAGTGTTCAGATCTTTGATATGGACATGGATGAGATTAGCTCTGCTTTGTATGTGCTCTATGTCGATAACTCTAGTGTGACTGGTTCCTACTACCCCTTGCTGCCTAGCGTAGGTGTGCCTAGTTCGGCCTCTCCTACTGCGTCAGGCGTAGGATCCCCTGCCTTATTTAGTCTTGGCTCCTCCCTCGCCACTCCGACCCCGGCCGCCAGTATTGTGCTCTCCTTTACCCTGGGCTCTGGCGCTTCCCAGTGTTTCTTTCGCGACTCCACTATGCTTACGCCGCTTGCCGCTCCCGCCGCAGTTTCCCTTGCCCACCCCTCCTCAGGTCCGGTAGTCGCCCGTAGCTACACCAACCTTCCCTGTCCGGCGGTTCCTTCGGGCTCTCTTACAGGCCTGCAGATCCACTCGTTCTCTAGGAACCTAGTTGGTGTCGGCTGCCTCCAGGAGGTTGGCGTCACCACTACGTCTCCTGGTCACGAGCGTTACGCTGTCTGTACCAAGGCCGCCACTGGTGCTCCCCTCACCACGTTCCCCCGGGACCCGGTGTCTGGCCTATTCACGCTGGACACCGCCACCCCCCCCCGGTTGGGACGTCTCCTCAGGTGGCTGCGTCTACCCAGGTTGCTGCGGCCTGCTCGTGTCGGTCGCTTACCCACCTGACACTTCTGTGGCACCACCGTCTAGGTCACACCGCGCTCCCGCGTGTGCTTCACATGTCTCAGCACGGTCTTGTCCTTGGTCTCCCAGAGTCATTCCTTGAGTTGCCCTCCTTCCCAGCGTCACCGTGCACGCCCTGCGTCGAGGGCCGGCTCCGCCGTGCCCCTCACTCCTCCTCGTCCCCCCCCACCGCCGCACCACTACAGACCCTGCACATGGACGTCTGGGGCCTCGCCCCCGTCCATGGATCGCGTCGAGAGTGCTCCTTCGTCGTGCTTGTTGACGGCTATACGCGCTACACCACGGTTTTTCCCCTAGAGCGGAAGGCGGACGTGCCTGACGCTATTATCCCGTGGCTGGTCTCTGCGCGTGTGCACCGCCGTCTCCCTGTCTTGCGTCTTCACTCCGACCGTGGTGGCGAGTTTGCCTCTGGCGTCCTTGGTCGTTTCAATCGTGCGGAGGGGCATCACCCAGACGTTCACCCTGCCGGACTCCCTGCAGCAAAATGGGGTCGCTGAGCGACGCATCGGTTTGGTCATTAAGGTGGCTCGTACCTCCATGATCCATATCGGTGCACCCCATTTTCTGTGGCCGTTTGTCGTTCGCTACGCCACTCACCAGCTTAACCTGTGGCCGCACCCCCAGCAGCCGCAGGTTTCGCCGACCCTTCTTTGGATCGGGTCCCCTGGAGCCGCGTCTGCGTTCCACGTCTGGGGCTGCCTTGCTCACGTTCGTGCCTCTGGCACGGACAAGCTTACTGCCTGCACTGTCACAGGAGCGAATGTCCCGAGGAAAGGTTTGCTCAATGTTGTACTATCAATCAGTACAAGGTGCTTTTATACTTCCAGAATACATCAGGTAACCAGGTTTATCCTATCCAAAGGGAATAGACCCTTCTAGAAATAGAATCACCCTGCGTATAGCCACGCGAGGCTATTGGCTTTAAGGGATTACGGCAGGATTACGCTAGATATAGCGCGCCAGTACATCCCGAGCCTGGTCGGTGATATAATCATAATAATAGGATAAACCAAAGGATAATGGAAAAGGAGGAATAGGAAACCAAATGAGATGAGATAAAGACCAAATGAATGAGGATAAAAAGAGGAATGAAATAGAAAGGAAATATGGAAAGGGGAAAATAGTGTAACGGGGTCGTACTCTCACACTTCCCCCCCTCAAAGCTGGGTGGTAGACGTAACACCCTGCTTGACAAGGTAGTCGCGAAGAGGACGACGGGCGTTACCCATGTCGAGTTCACAGACGAAGCCTCAGAAGTATCATAACCCTTCCAGCAAAGAAGAAGCTCCAGAGTGCCAGTCTGACGATGACGGTGTCCGAGCACGTAGTTGTCACATGGCGTGGATGAACACCGGCGGCGACGGTGGTTGGCATTTGGTGTAGAGCGTGTTTGGTCTTGATAGGGTTTAAGAAGCTGGTATGGAAGGCGGTATGGATCTTCTAAGTGGCTGGTAGGCGGAAGCGGAAGTTGACTGAAGTGGCCCTTGCTTCAACAATGATAGACCCGCAGAAGCAAGGTTGAAGCTTGGATGGAAGTTGGCTGATGTCGAGATTATGGTGTGGATGACTGTAGTGATAAGGGGTCAAGTGCTTGTGCTGATGTTGGATGTCCAAGAGGGCGCTTGTGTGGTCGATGTACAAGATGGTGGACGATGGCGATGAAATCGGAAGCCAGTTGGACTGTGGCTGGTATGGTTAGCTGTTGTGGTGTGATCGGGTGGCGTCCGTAACAGACGAAGTACAGCGTCTGTCCAGTAGCGGCGTCAGGAGCATACTTGTAGGCAAACTCCAGGACGGGCAGATGCAAGTCGGAGTTGGAGATGTGAATGGTTGGAAC